CCCCCCAGACCCCCCCCCTCTCCGCTCCAGCATCACTCTTCCCTTGCATGTAGCTGGGTGGCCGAGGACCCCCCTGTCTCCATCCTCGCCAGCACCTACCGCCCGCTCCCAGCAGGACGCCAGGCTGGCATTGAGCTTCTTGCCGTCGCCACGGGCCTGGGCAATCTCCCGCTGCAGAGCATCCTCCGCCCGCGTGCTCGCCGCCACCTCCCGCTGCAGCCGGGCTCGCTCCCGCTCCAGCTCGGCCACGCGGTTCCCCAGCTCCCGGCTCTCGTTGGCTGCCCGTTCCCGGCAGCCCTGCAGCTTCCCCACCGCCTCCGAGCGCCACACCATCACCGCCACTGAGACCGTCACCGCTGCCACCAGCACCAGCAGCACCACGCACAGTCCCAGCACCTTCAGGGTGGCCTTGGGCACTGCGGGGTCCATGCCGGAGGGGAATACGGAGCCGCTCACCCGCTCCAGCGGCGGCTGCCCGGGGTGTGCCAGCGTCCCCAGGGCAGGTCGCTCCCTGGGTTGCTGTAATTGCCGCGTGTGGGTTTTTCTCACCAAACACGGCTTTGGGCTGCGGTTTCTCACAGGTCACAGCCCAGAATAGGCTTTGTTTGTGCTGGAGGTGGGAAGACGCTCTGCCCCTGTGCTTGACCGTGGGTCACAGCTGCAGGGATAAGCGGGGATGCAGCTGGGGTCCGGTGGGTGCCGGGGATGCCGAGGCTGCCATCTGCCCGAGGGGTTTCTGCAGCACCCCCTTGCCCCCACCATACAGCAGGGTCAGGTCTCTGGGTCCCCAAGAGCTGCTGGAGCAATAAACCACTGGATTTTCACAAGGTTTTATTGTAAATTGGTTAAAAATCACCTAACCATGGAGTGTCCGTGGAGCCCTCAACTCAAGGCAGCCTTGCACAGTGCTACATCTCTGTCCCCTCCTGCCCGTGCCCCATCCCCTCCCTCGCCCTGAGCACAGCCCTTGGTGGCTGGAGGGAAACTGTCTCCCCAGGATGTCCCCACGGTGAACAGGGTGAGTTAGTTTGGTGAGCAGAGCATGCAGGGAGGTATAGAACAGCGTAGGCAGTCCCGGGGCAGGGGCGAGCAGGAGGCAGGGCTGACCGGGCACCAGGTTCCCGCAGCGCTGCCACCCCCAGACCCTGCCGGGCTGGATGGGGACGGTCCCTCCTCACCCCACATCGGGGGACGGGGAAGCAGGGGGCCCATGTTCCTGCTGCTTCGGGCTCACAGGAGGAGCATCCTGGGGAGGAGGAGAGCCAGGAGGCTGAGGGACACGGCCGGGAGCCTGTTCCCACCCGAATGCTGGCTCCTCATGTCCTGGAGCTGCTTCTGCAGGAGCTCGTTCTGCAGCTCGAGCTTGTCCCTGGGGGGGGACAGGGAGAGTTGGTGACAGAGCGCGGGGCTGGGGGCGGCAAGGGGAAGCGCGGGGCTCACCTGTGGCTCTGCAGGTCCCTCAGCTGCTCCTGCTGCTGGGACACCTCCACCTTGAGCGCGCCGTTCTCCTCTGCAGGGAGGCGACGGCAGGCAGGGATCAGGGTGTCCCAGGGGACAGGGATCAGGGTGGCCAAGGGGACGGGGATCAAGACGACACAGGGAACAGGGATCAGGGTGTCCCAGGGGATGGGGAACAGGGTGTCCCAGGGGACGGGGATCAGGGTGTCTCAGGGGATTCGAATCAGGGTGGCCCAAGGGAAAGGGACCAGGTTGACCCAGGGGACGGGGATCAGGGTGGCCCAGGGGATGGGAATCAGGGTGTCCCAGGGACTGTTGCCCGTGCCCACCCCCCTGCACCCCCCACCCTGCCCAGGACTCACCTTGCAGCTGGGTTATCTTGGTGAGCGCCTGCTCCAGCTCTGGGACTTTCCCTTCCAGCACACCCTGAGCATGGGCAGAGGGAAAGGGCTGGAGGTTCCAGCTCGGGAACAAGCTTTGGCTTGCACAAGCCAAATGCAGGCAGTTCGGGGCTGGGGGCTGCAGGTTTCCCCGCGGGGTCCCGGCCCCCCACCCACCAGCAGCACCCCGGCACCTACCAGCTGCTTCCTGCAGCCTTCCCACTGCCCGCGGGCTTCGGCGAGGGACCGGTTGGTGATGGCCAGCACCTCCTCCAGCTGCGCCAGCTCCGCTGAGCTGTTTCCCACCATTGCGGAGCCCACGGCCAGCTGGCAGAGCGTGGCAGAGAGGGCTGCCACCAGCACGACGGCCACCCCAAGGGCCATGGCCACGTACATCTTCCAAGCTCGCTTGCATGGGGGCAGCGAGCACCAGCTGCAGCCCTTCATCCTGCCTGCGCTACCCTGTCTGGGCAAAACCACAGGGGACTAGGAGGGAGCTCGAGGGTTGCTCCAAAATCGAGCTATTTCATTTCTCAGAGAGCGGGACTTTCCAGGAAATCATGTGATTCATGAGCGTGCAGCACCGGGGGAAGCTGGACGGCCTCAGGGCTGCTGGCGGGGCTGGCGCTGTGCCCCGGGGCTGGTACGGGCAGGGCTCGGGCAGATGCTGCGGGGGACACCCCCCCTTCCGCAAGGGGTGATCCCGGCCCCGTGTCCCAGGGGCAGAGCTGCGGGGGGCCCGCGGTGCACCCCCATGGAGCTGCCAGTGGGGCCAGTGCCCACGGTGGGGGGGACGGGGGGACGGGACAGGGCAGAGCATCCCCAGGGCAAGGGGTAACGGGAGTGTGAGGGGCCTGGGGGGGCAAAAATGGGGTGTGGGGTACCCAGAGCATGGCGTGCCTGGGGTATGGGGGACTAGGGGTATGGGGTACCTGGGGTAGGGGTACGGGGTTCTCGGGGTATGAGGTATCTGGGGTATGGAGAAATGGGGGTAGGGGGTACCCAGGATATGGGGTACCCAGGGTATAAAGTAACTGGGGTTTGGGGTGCCTGGGATAGGGGCTACCTGGGTTATGGCATAACTGGAGTGTGGGGTAACCAGGTTATGGGGTACCTGGGGTATGGCGAATTAGGGGTACAGGGTACTTGGGTTATGGGGTACCGAGGTATCTGGGGTATGGAGAAATGGGGGTAGGGGGTACCCAGGATATGGGGTACCCAGGGTATAAAGTAACTGGGGTTTGGGGTGCCTGGGATAGGGGCTACCTGGGTTATGGCATAACTGGAGTGTGGGGTAACCAGGTTATGGGGTACCTGGGGTATGGCGAATTAGGGGTACAGGGTACTTGGGTTATGGGGTACCTGGGGTACGGGGGTACCTAGGGTGCGGGGTAACTGGGTGTGGGGTTACTGGGGTAGGTGGTACCAGTCTGCAAACCCTTCTGCAGCACAGCCTCCCTCCAGCCCAGTTCTGCCCAGTGCGGCCGCCCCGGCTCTGGCCGGGCAAAGGGGCTCTGCTGGGGCCAGGATCCAGCCCTGGCTTCTGGCAAGCGCTTGGCCCCGTGATGTCTGCACTGGTCCAGGCTTTCACGGGACGTCCCCGTCCAGAACACTCCTGGGCTGCCATTCGGGAGGGTTTTTTGAGGGGGGAAGAGCTGGCGAGGGGAGGAGGAGGGTTAAAGGGTGGGGAAGGGCTGCGAGCCCTCCGCTCCCGTCCTTGGGGAGCAGCATCGTGGTCCAGCCACCGCACGGGCTGTTTTTTGGGAGGCTGGGAGTGGGGCCGAGCCAGCACCCGCTCTGCTTCTGTTGGGGAGAAATTCGAAACGCTCTTTCTTCCAGGAGTTGTGCTAAAATCCTGGGGTTTTTAATGCTTTTCCTGCTGGCGTTTCTCGGCAGGGAAACATCCCCCGAGCAAAGGCAATGCCGGCTGGTCCATCGCTCCCCTGAAGCACCCCGAAGCACTTGGGGGGACGGGGAGAGGTGCCTTCCCATCCCCTGAAGCACCCCGAAGCACTTGGGGGAACGGGGAGAGGTGCCTTCCCGGGTCCGCTCCCTGCCACTGCGTGGGGCTGGGGGGAGGTGGAGGGCACCAAATGCGGGATATGGGGTATGGGATGCGGGATGTGGTATTTGGATATGGGGTACATGACAGAGGATGCAGGATATGGCAAATGGGATGCGGGATATGGGATATAGGATGCAGGATATCGGAATATGGAATATGGGATATGGGATGCAGGATTTGGGATGCTGGATGCGGGATATGGGATGTGGGGATATGGGATATGGGATATGGGATGCGGGATGTGGATTGCAGGATGCGGGCTATGGGATGCAGGATGCGGCTGGGGATGTCACTGCGCCGCACACCGGAGCTGATCACCAAATAAATCCGAGTCCGGCCAAGGTGGCACCTGCCGGGAGCAGCCCAGGCCAGGTCGGAGCCGGGGAGCTGGGGGGGGAGCTCCTGCAGTCACAGTGTTTCCACAGCCGGCTGCGTGCCGGTGCCACCGCCCCTGCCACTGCGACTGTGCCGGGGAGCCAAGACCCCCGGCACAGAGCCCTGGCACGGGCAACGCAGCCCCAGGGATGCTCCAGCCGCATCCTGACACATGGAGACAGCAGCCACCGCCTCACCTTTCCTCCCCCCCAGCTCCAGAAATAGCTGTTCCACTTAGTATTTTTATTCTGCTGCTTCATGTGATAGAAAAATCAATGGTTGTGAAATTAAAAACACACAAAATATTTACCAAATTTCAAGTTTTTGAGTCAGATTTTCAACATCTGGAGAATTAAAAGGCTCTGGCAGATTCGGTGAGCTGTCAGTGTAAAGGCTTTAAATATGTTGTTATTATTATTTATGGTCTGGAGCCTGAGAAGGAACGAAGGCCAAAGGTTTCAAAAATAGCTTGAAAAACGGGAATGGATGTTTTTTCCAGAACCAGCTCCCTTTGAACAGCGAGATATTGAGATGCAACTCAAAAAAATATAGCTAAAAAGCAACTGGGAGAGGAATGTGCATTGTCAAGGGCTGCCCCGAAGCCACCCCGGCACGGTGGAGCTCGGCCGTCCCCGTGGTGTCCTGGCTCGGGCTCACTTCAGAAAGCAAGTGTTAGTTCTCTGGGCTGCCCCTCTCCCTCTTCCCACTGTTTTCCTGCCAAATCCCAGCTTCCAATGGCCCCTTTCCCAGGGGACACACAGCGGTAGCCCCCGGTGTCCCCGCTTTGGGAGGGGTTGGGGGGTCTCTCGCCTCTGGCTTGTCCGTGTTCGAGGACCGTTTGTTTTCCTCCTCCGGCAGGTTGTCCGGAGGGAGCGCCGGGAGCAGAGCAGCGTCTCTTGGCCAGACGGCTTGGAATTTGGCAGCTGGATCCGGCCCTGCCATCACGGCAGAGAGGGGGAGCTGGCACCTCCTGTGTCCCTCCCGCAGCCGGGTGCCCGGGGATGCTCCGGATGCCCGGGGATTCTCCAGTTTGGGGTCCGCAGGGATGCTGGGGTTTGGGGTCCCCAGGGATGCTCCAGTTCAGGGCAGGGGGCAGAGGAGATGCCTCCTCACCCCCCCCCCCGGGCCTGGAGCCCTGGGCAGGATGCGGCCCCTGAAGCAGCAGTGCTGGGTGTGGTGCAAAGGAGCGAAGCCGGCGAGGAGGGGGCGTGCGCAGGGGAATATTTTTGGGCTGCCGGGGGCCGGGGCCAGCACGCGGGGGGCAGCTCCTGCCGTGGCGGCGATGCTCCATGCCCCACTCAGCCCTCACCCCATGGCTTGGCCCTGGGGAGATGGTCGGGCAGCACGGCCCCCCCAGCCCCTCGGGGAGGCTGAGAGGAGGGTCCCGGGCCGGCGCAGCGCCTCTGCTTTTCCCTTTCATCCCTTGCCTGCGCCTGTTCCCTTTCAGCCTGAAACGTGGGTTTCTCTCCTATTTTGGGTTGGCTTTTTGGCTGGTTTCTTTTATTATTTTAATTTAGGCACTGTCATTATATTTTCCATTATTTAAAAAGAAAAAAAAGAAAGCAAGCTGCTTCCCAAGGCGCTTTCCAGCTCCCGGCTGCTGCTCAGAGCAGCTTTTGTTCCCGGCCAGTGCCGGTACGTGCTCGTGGGGTGCAGTGCAGCAGCACTCCCTTCCCGCTGCCCGCTCCCTCCTCCCCACAGGGCCAGTGGGGATTTTGGGGGGGGGATGCACCCCAATGTGGGGATGCTGTTGGGGGGGCGGGGGGCTAAGCAAATGGCAGCCCCATCCCCACCACGAGGGCC